CCAACCAACCAACCAACCAACCAACCAACCAACCAACCAACCAACCACCAACAGCCACCAACCAACCACCAACCACCAACCAACCACCACCAACCACCAACCACCAACCAACCACCAACCACCAACCTGGTGCTCTCCAAGGGGTCGGATGCACGCCCTGGCGTGCCTTGGTCTCCGCCGCTCTGCCGGTGGCTTTTTGCGTGGCAGGCGCGGTACTTGGTGCTCTCCAAGGGGTCGGATCCCAAATTTCTCAAACCGCTGATGGGAGCAGTTGTCAAAGCTGCTGGTACCCACTGGACGGCTGCCAGAGTCCAAGCGCCGATGCAGGCCCATGTCACGCAGCCACGGAGCACCGACTCTCGAAGCCAGGCTCTCTGCCAACTGATGTTCAGCCACTAGCAGTTTGCACACATGCATGACACCAGCATTTTCCGGCTTGCTCTCCTGCAGCTCTGTATCTTTCACGCTGTCTGCGTGGTAAAGCAAAAGGGTTCAGCTGACACCAACCACCAACCACCATTGGGGTGACCACCAACCACCAACCACCACCAACCACCAATTGTCCGCTCCTGTGTCTAGTGAAGTTGTTAACATGTGGGGTATTCCGGTCCTATAATTTGTTTTTGTTTGCCTTTTTGGTTTTGGTAAGAAGGCTTCAGCCTGAAGCCTTCTTACCAAAGGCTTCAGCATAGCTCTTCCCTTTGTATTTATTTGCTGTCTGCGCGACATAGTCACTAGAAAAAAGTCAATGCCTCAGGATCTGCCTGCCCCTAGGACATTGACGTGCTTTTGTTTTTTGCCAAAGAAGGCTACAATGATATTCAATGCTTCATTGACCAAAATTAAACACCCGTGTAATTTCTGCAGGTTTGGCATGACATAGAATATGAATCAAAGAAGCATGAGCAACAAATTTGACAGCGCAAGGGTTAACACTGAAAACCTATTTTCGATACATTCAGATGATATTGTGAAGTAGTTTGCGGTAAATGAAATGAAGCAAGGCAGTGGACATACTATACACATGATGACCCTGCAGCCTGACAGAAGAGCAGTTCAACATGCGGTATGTTGTGAAATTCAACCCTTTACCGTCAAGAACGATCTTAAATATATAGAGATCTTATAATTTTTGGATCTCTTATCAAAGGAGGGCCATTTGATTTTGGATTTTTTTGTTTCCTTTTTTGTTGTTGTTCTTTTTTCGTGGCTTCTGGCTTCTGGCTTCTGTGGCTTCTGGCTTTTGTGGCTTTTGGCTTTCGTGGCTTTCGTGGCTTTCGTGGCTTCTGTGGCTTTTGTGGCCTTTGGCTTTTTGGCCTATCCATCTATCTGTCTATCTATCTGTCTATTTCTTTCTTTCTTTCTTACTTTCTTTCTTTCTTTCTTTTTGGCAGCTGTTCTCCTTTCTCTTTTTGCATTTGCTTTTCCTGTTGTTCTCGTTGCAGAGACGAAACCAAACAAGGAAGCAAGCAAGGAAGCAAGCAAGCAAGCAAGCACGAGCTGCTCACCTTCGGATCTGGTGTGCTGCTGCGGGGGGGCGCTGCGCCCCTCCCCCCCCGCGCCACGAAATCTGCACTTCATCCCCGACACCCGCGCCTGCCACGAAATCAATATTTTAAGGTGAACTCCCCGGCGCAAAACTTTCTAACCAAGCAAATATGCCTCCTCTATCTATCTATCTATCTATCCATTTATCGTTCTATCTTTCTATCTATCTGCAGTTCAACATCCACAAAGTACTGCACCTGCCACGAAATCTGCACTTCAAGGTCCACAAAGTCTTGCGCCTGCCACGAAATCTGCACTCCAAGGCCCACAAAGTCCTGCACCTGCCACCAGCTCTACACTTCCACATCCACAAAGCACTACACCTGCCACGAAATCTCCACTTCAAGGCCCACAAAAAGTCCTGCGCCTGCCACAAAATCTGCGCTCCAAGGCCCACAAAGTCCTGCACCTGCCACCAACTCTGCACTTCCACGTCCACAAAGTCCTGCACCTGCCACGAAATGCGCTTTGCAAGGTCCACAAAGTACTGCACCTGCCACGAAACACGAAAAACAAAAAATCCAAAATTAAGTCGCGGCCCCTTATCAAAAGATAGACAGTACAATGGCAAGTATTGGTATAATGAACTATAGTTTGAAAGAAGCATGGGACCAACAAAATGCAACAACAAAGTTCAAGAATGTTATTCGATATACATGGTCACATGGCTATTTGATGAAGATTCTTTGGAGGTTGTATTTTGGGATCTTAAACAGAGATATATACAAGGTTTTGTTTGCAATGTTACTACTTAAATACAAGCACCCTAAAAACACTACTATTTGAAAATGTTAGTTTTTTATATTAGAACAATTCTGTAATATTATCAACATTTGCTTAAATGTTAAACTAGTTCTTGTACATATAAACTACAGTGAAAATACTACTTGCATATACCTCTCTCACTTGCTTTACTGTACCAGGCCAAGACATTGTTAAAACATTCTTACATGATACAAACATTGAAAAATACACATATACTAAACATGAAACTGCAAAACTGCACAGCATAATTATCACCATTTAAGCTGCTTCATTGACACTTCTATCACATGACACAAGTTAAAAGCATATGAGAAACAAGAAAAAGGTGCACAGTCACAGCACCCTGCACTTTAAACTTGTTAGACACACCGCGCGTCCAAAATATAGCAAAGTATATTGTCACATAGGCCCTTTGATAGACTATTCTAAAGTACAACAACAGGTATTATATAGTATCAATGAAAGAGGATGGGAGAAGTTTTTCTCTATCATTGCCAAAATGTAATGAGGTAGAAGAAACTGAGAAGCAAGTAAAAAGTGCACACTCACAACGCCCTGCGCTCTAAATTTGTTGGACACATAGTGCGTCAAAATCTGCGCGCGCAGAAGGTGTTGAGGGCGTTGTGGCAGCGCAAGAATCGCAAGAAAGCTGCTACAATAGATCTTAAGCTTTAGCTCGGGGGGGGAGGCATTTTTCGAGTAGAAATGCTGTGTTTTGCGATGTTTTTTTGAAGATGGATAAAAATTGGACCAAACGTTGGAGACGCAGGTTATGCCGGCCGGGGGAGATCGCGTTATCGACGTGGTGCACGCATGTGCAGCCCGGGGGACACTGCATTATTGACATGGCGGGTATGTTCGTCCGTGTGTCCTGCCCGACCGAGACACAGACTGACAGACCGAGACAGACAGACCGAGACAGGCGCACCAAGACAGACAGACCAAGACAGACAGACGGAGACAGACCCACCGAGACAGACAGACCAAAAACAGACAGACCGAGACAGACAAATGAGTCCGTGTCCTGCTCGACCCAGCCAGACAGACTGACAGACCGAGACAGACACACCGAGACAGAACCCTCAGTGAAGGGGCTGATGATTAAATCGGGCTGTAGCGAAAGGTTTCTTCATGCCTGAGCCCGGTGAACATTTCTCCCCGGCTCCGAGAGCACAAGTTGCTAGTTCCCGGCTCCGCGAGCGCAGGTTGCTGCCGAGCCGGTAGGGTGCTAATGACACACTTTTCCCATGTATGTCTGGATGTATGTTTGCATGTATGTATGTCTGTATGCATGAATGGATGCCTATGTCTGTACGTGTGTGTCACACCCTGGTTCTAAGGGTTTTCCACTCTTCCCCACTTTCCCACTTTCCACGCAAGCAGGGGGGCAAGGCCTCCAGCGATGAACCTTGTCCAACGAAGCTAAGTCGCTGGAGGGGAAGCACTGAGAGACGTCTCGGTGTGTACCTGCTGAGTTGTCCACAAGCTGTGACCCTACTTTTCCACGGCTTGATTCATGGTTCTTTCATGATACCTTCCCCAAAAACAGGTTTTCCACCGCAGACTTGCAGCCGACTTGCAACCACACTGACTGTCAGAGTGCAAACATTGTTCAACCATACTGTTTCAGCTGACTTTTCCACCTTGCGGTTCTTCGCTTTTCTTCCCATCGGGAAATTGAGTGTAACTGAAAACCAATGTCAGAGTGTGTGTTTGTTTTCCCTTTTCTTTGTGTGGGCGGCTTCGACCGCGAAGCGGAGTGAATATGGTAAAGTATATTGAATATTGTCATTTAGGTCCTTTGATAGCCTATTGTAAAGTACTACAACCGGTACTATATCATATCAATGAAAGAAGATATGGGAGAAAAATCTATGAATCATTGCAAAAATGTAATGAGGTAGAAGCATATGAGAACAAGAAAAAGGTGCACACTCGCAGCACCCTGCGCTCTAAATTTATTAGAAACGTAGTACATCACAGTGTGTTGAAATGATTTTTCATATAGGTCCTTTGACAGACTATTGTAAAGTACAACAACCGGTACTATATATTATCAATGAAGGAAGATATGGTAGATAAAGTTCTATCACTGCAAAAATGTAATGAGATAGAAACATATATGAGAAACAAGAAAAAGGTGTACTACCACAGTCCCCAGCTCTCTTCTTTCATTATTTACGGTTTTTTTGTTCAAATGTTCGGCTATGTGACGAGATGTGCTCTCCTTTGCCGAGGTGGAAGTACAAAAAATCCTCCATTGCAGTCTTTCCACAGAACCAAATCTGGTCCTGGATTGCAGACAGCTAATTGCTGATTTCCTTGAGGCAGGTCGAATTCACACCACATGATGTGTAGACTTTTTTGGGTGAATTGTCAGTACATGTGTTCCACTTCTAAAAAAGCATCACTACCTTTTTTGGGTTGCTAATTGAATCTTGACAGGTGTTGGTGGATATTGTCGTGCTCATCCTGCCGGCCTTGCTGCTTTGCCTAAATGCCCTTGGAGCCCAGCAAGTCTATGCACAAACCACAGACCCTCGGAAGCAGAGACTGGCACACGCAAGACGTTAGAAACTGATCATGTGTTCGATGCAGCAGTTTGACTCTATTTTGTCCTCGCAGCTTGCCAGGCTTGAGCCCACAAATCTACCAAACACCTACACCTGCCTGTGTAAACAGATTGATGAACATGGTGACTTTGGATATTTAAGGTAACTTCAACTCCTGTGCAGATGATGGATGTTCTTGGAACAGTGCCTCGATCAATGCAATAGTGACACCCACAGGTTGTAATCAAGCCTTTTTGTTGCACTGTTCCTTGACTACGATGGGACAAGGCGCTGCCTTATATCGGCTTTGACTCTGGTGGACGTCAGGCTCAGATTTGAGAATCAGTCTGCTGTGTTTTATTGTTTTTGGAGAATTTGAGCTTAAGCATTTGTTTACGTTGTCATAGTTTGGCACAGCATGCTGCAGTTTCATACCTCTGGCAACGCGAGGGACGCAAGCAAACGTTGCAGTAATTTGATCTAGTTGTGATCCGGCAGGTCCTGTTCTTGACGTCATTTATTCTTGGGACGCAGTTCGTATACATAGAAGCTTGGTGATTGAAACATTGAGAGAGGATAACAAAAACCTGTTCTGCGCGCGGCTCTTGAACGCCCCATGATCATTCCGATCGCCCAGGTCCTGGCAACGATCCGTGTTTTGCTGCACTATGTTTGCCCGGAGAGAATGATCAAGAGGCAGAAAGAGTCCAATGGTATTGTGCGGTATCCTATCATCATTCTACATCGTTCAGTCTCGACTTGTGCGTGTTTCATAGTGCAATGATAGTGCATGCAGCCAATTGACCTTGAAAGGTGGTTTGATTGGCTATTTGCCTGCATTTTGTTCCTCGAGGTTATCGGAGTTGCGACCTGGGCCCTTTTCTTAGAAGGTTATTTGCAATATGCTCGTTGTGCGTTTCATTCAATCCTGACGCTTCTCATTTACTTGTCATATGGTTTGGGAGCTCATTCTCACGCTACACTTTGTGAGCTCAGATTGGAGTCACGGCGTCCTGGTGCATCCTTGCCACCATTTTGTCACCGGTCAAGTATTTGCCATACGGCACTGTGGAAAGCTCAGTCCAAGTAGGGTGCTGTTCCATACCGTGTCCATCTATTAGATTCCAAAGCAAATGGTGTGAGATGGTGTAAGTAGTTCTGCGGCACTCTCATGCTTATATGCATGCTCAGTCGTCAAGTCAGTGAGCACAACATGCATACCCAGGCAGTGATAATTTTTGGTGTTGTGGTGGTGACTCTTTGGAAGGAGCTGATCATGCTTGGGCTAAACTTGTAGGGTCGCATTGTCAAGACACGAAGGGCACTTGAGGCTGGTTGAGTCCCTTTGTGGGAAATCCTGTATGATAGTGTTGTCGCTGAGAGTGTTTTGCTCAAGATGTGATCGATGTTTATGTCAGAGGTTCGTTTAAGGATAAATGTCACTTGGCCCCATTGGAATTCCTGAAGTCTATCCTATTCCATCGTCAACTTGTGCATGTACCGTGATTGATGTGATTGGCTTTTGTGTTGTTACAGTAGTGTTTTTCACTGTTGTGTTGGGATCGCATAGCCGCATGGCTTCTATATGAATACACCTCAGAGTGTTGCGAGCAGCTGCTGCATAAAGACCAGACAGTTATGCTCAGAATATTGATCCACCTTTTGCTTTGTTGCGAACAGACCAAGATGGATAACAAGTGGAATAAAGTCGGAATAGATTCAGAAGCAGGATTTCAGTACTATACTCAACCAATGACATTCAATGACGAGATTGTTTGAGCATCAAGCTTGACCGGCATGATGTATCAAGTATTGAGTAAAGAGCCAGAAGCATTATGATGAAAAGTTGAAAGTCTGACGTGCCAAGATTATATAGGGAAGAAATCGACAAGCAAGAAAGAAACACTATAGAAGCACCCCAGCTGATGATCCCAATAGCAAGCAATCCTCTATATGAATGATTTGCTATCATTTAAAGGCGCAATATATAGATGTTCTGAAAAAAGAAAAAAAACTATATACTGCACCGCTTCTTTTGTTTGCTGTTGTGCTTGCGCATTTGAGGACACTGAATCATACGCTAGCAAATCTGGCACGAGCTACCATATGTACATGTGTAAACTCTCCAAGATGGCCGGAAGCAGAAAACAAAAATATTCAAAACAAAACCAGCTGCTGCCAAAATATGATGAAAGTGCAACAAAACAATATGGCGAATGCGCCAACTCTAAACTCTAAACAAGCTAAAAAGCAATAGCAATGCTATTCAACCAACAATAGAGTCCAACAAGCATACTCGGAAGGGGCAGTGCATAACCAAAACAAGACTGAGACACCTTCAAACACCAAAACATCGCCGAATACCCAAATCGCAATCAAACTAAAGACACGCTTTTGTTGAGACAGACAATTGTCCACCATACCGTGAGCCGCCAAATGCGAACGAGAGGCAAAGATTGTCACAACATCAGCGCAACAAGACCAAAACCATTGCAACCGAGACCAAGAAAGAACTGAGAAACGACGATCAACACAACGGACGCCGGCAAAACATGTCGTTTCCACTTCCCACACTTCTCTCGGTCTGCAGGGCTAGCGTTGCCTTTGCTGTAGCAGGTTCAGGCACAGCATCGTGCCTATTGGTTGTCGCACAGCCTTCTTTGTCTCTCCAAACATGGGTTCCAACAAGTTCTCACTGATGTTCATTGATTGGTCGTTGCTTAGCTCGCTGCAAACTCTTTTTGCGATACAAGTCTGTGCAAGCCTCAACAAGGTGCATCAACACCATTGGATCTTCCGTGATGAATTCTTTCCTCGGTGACTCATGTATGAGAGGTGAGAGGACAAGTTTCAGTCCTGGCAGCAGGTGATCAGCCTGGGGTGATTGGCTGTTCCAGTTGGGGCAGCACAGCTCAGAACAGCTGTAGGCGCTTGTTCACCCAATGAATGAAAATAGTAAAGCAGCGAAAGCAGCCGCCAGGCTGCCAGAAATTGCATGTTTGCCAATCTGCAAAAACCAGCAAATGTGCTTCTCCGATAATACTCTGTGCATCTCTGTGCACAATCTAAACAAAGTGGAACTCCACAATCACAATATATACAATTTGGCAGACCAAAGTAAACCTTGCTGTTGCGGCGCATAATACCCCGTGCTTCCAAACCCTGCAAAAGAACCTGCTCTGGAAAGCTGGGCAAGGTGACCTGCGTGGCCGTAAGAAAAACTCTGTTGCGTTGGTGCTTGGAAATGCAGCGGTGTTCTGTGAGGAGATGAATGACGCTGCTTTCGCCATGAGGAAAAAGGCCTTCGCCATGATTGATGGCAAGTTGCAGCAATGCTTGAGGACTGTGGAACAAGACTCACGCCAGCACAAAGGCCAAGATGAAATCTTGGATGTAGCACAAGAACGAGATAGACGGAATAGGGAATTCTGAATAGGGCATTGTTTAGGAAATTTGGTTTCAGACCTGCCATAATAAGCAGCACTAAGGAAATTCAACTGCAACGAAACCACAATGCTTTGGCAGCTGGTTTGCGCAAGCTTGAAGCCAAGAGAGCTCACGCGAAGAAAAAGGCGGAGCTTTGAGCATTCATTTGAAGAGAACGAGGTAGAGAGGTTCTTGTGCCACCGGACAGTTCACATTTTGCACAAGAGGTGGATGAGTCGCAGGCAGGCTTTGATGAATTTCACCAGGACAGCATGTGAACAATCCGTGCGAAATTGTTGCTTCGACATGAATTCCATTGAATTCCATTCAATTACCGCGCAGCGGGAAGACCTCCAGAAAAAGCTTTGGCAGGAGCGAGTGAGACGCAAGGTGACCCCCGGCGACGTGTTCAGTACGTTGGATGCAGATCAATCTGGCACTATCACAATTGAGGCCTCTTGGGCCTAGCTTTGATCATGTTCTTGCAAGTTCTCGCAAACTATGCATTCCTCAGAATTCCTCAAGTTTGTTTTGCACGCATGTCATATGTGTTTTGTGGCATTGACAGGAGTTCAAGAAGCTGTTTGTCGAGCCTTTGCCGAAGGGAAAGTCTTAAAACATCTTAAAACGTGGTGGGGATGGGAGGCAAATCTGCAGGGAGTTTGAGCCTCAAGTGCTCTCGCGTCAGCCATCAGGCAATGAATTCTTCTCTGGACCCGAACATGATTGAGAAGATGTTTGCCTATGCTGATTCTGATGGTTCAGGCCTGATCACTCAGGACTGGAATTTGTTTGGCAACCCAACGCAAGAGTGCACTCCAAACAATCTGGCGTTGTTTGAACCACGCACAATACTATGAATTAATGCTGCATTGATTCGGAACGAATGCCCTAGCTCATGTGTCAACAAGCGCCTTCAAAACGACCAGAAGGCCAAGCAATGGCAGGACGAATTTGAGGAAGCTTGGGATTTCTTGACTGAGCATTTGGTCAACAAGGCCTGCTGATCCATATCCCGCAACCTCCGATCGGCCTTAGCAGTCAATTGCGTGTACCGGTTGGCTGTGGTTGGCTGTGGTTGGCTTTGGTGTTTGCCAAGCAACGGGTAACAACTGCAATCAATGTACAAGTTGTACAAGTGCCTTTTACTCCACTCACCAACACAACAGCTTCCTCACTGAGAGTGATTGTTTTTTGAGACTGTTTGAGTCAATTCAAAATGTTCCTCAGGTCTTACATGAGCTTGGATTCGGCCCTACTGACATCTTGATGGCCATTATCATGGCAGCAACACGGCTGAGAAGCTACAGGTGCACAACATTGACTTGCAGTTGAAATGAGACGCTAAGGGAGGCTGAAAAGCCTTTTGATTCCTAATTGTGAAGCTACTTCAGATCAGAAAAAGCGCAGCTGCTGTGCCATCATGCTGGCTGGCAGGGATCACCAAGGCCCTTACGTTGCTATGTTTTTTTTTCTTCATATTCTTTGCCACTTGGAAGCCAAATAGCGCTGTGATGCATCTATTTGCTTGACTGAAAAATGACAAGCTCTTCTGCGCTTGATTCCCTGCAATCAATGCCATTTAAACGACGCCCTTCTCTCACCTCAAGTGGCAAGTTGAAGGTCCTATTGCTCATCTGGCACAGTGGACCGACCATGTGATATCACATCTAAGGCAATGCAAGGTTGGTACAATGATACATCATTCCAATCTTGCGTGCAGTCCGCATTAGTTGCTGGCAGTGGCAAGGCGGGCAATCCCAAGGAGCAGAAAGGAACAGAACAAGAAAAGCGAAGAACAGGAGGCAACGTTAGATCATTAGATATCACTAGGGTTTCACAAAAGCCGTTGAACATTGAATGTGTTCAAAGCAGCAACCTGTTTTGGGAAAAACAAGAGTGATGGTTTGAGAGCTTTGGCATGATTTGCTGCCAGGTGGCCACGCTGGTGAAAAAACGTGTGCCAGATGAGAAGGATATTTGGCTCAACTTGCTCACTCTGCAGCTTATAATTAGGCCCAGATGTAGTGTGTCAGTGCATACTCTCCAATGGTTGCAGGATGCCAAAGTTGGTGCAATCATGGGTTCGATGGAAGGAGGCAGAGAGTAAGCAATCATGTTCTTATCCTATCGACTCTTCTGACATTTTGTGACTCTAAAGGGTAATTATATAGTGTTTGTATGCCTACAGGTAGCTTCTTGCATAGCATACAATGAGCTGTTTATCCTTTGGAGTCTCAAAATGAAGACAGACCACCTTTGAGACTTTGTGAGGCGATGAAGGAGACGGAGACGGAGATGGTGGAGATGGCGAAGGCGGTGGCGAAGGAGAAGGGGGCGGTGAGGGAGAAGGAGGAGGTGAAGGTGGCGGATGATAGAGAGTGTGACCCTTCTTTTTTGGGGTGTCAGCGACGCTCTCCTGATAGCAACGCTTCAAGCTGACACGAAGCTTGCTGCAATCCCAGTGAAAGTGCTTTACAATGAAAACACAAGCTCAAATAGTGAGCATTTGTCCGAATTTATTTCTTTTCAATGTCTGCCAAGCAGCATTTGCACGAGAACCTTGCTTGAGCTGAAGCTGCTACCATGCGATGCATTTTAAGCGAAAACAAGCGCGACTGTGCATGATGTCTCATGATATGTTACAGTCGTTTGTCCTCGAATGCATTGTCGGTGTGAGTCAACATCTCCATATCTGGAGTCAAGACATGCAACTGATTTTGGAATGACATCTTGAAGCTTATCGGGCAGTCACGAACATCCTGCTGCAATCCTCCACGCTCCAGGTTTCCTTCAAAACCCCCCCACCGCGCGAGCGTGGTGGTGGCAGAACCGATGGATGAAGCTGCAAAATTTGTGACCATCGCGCCAGATGGTGGCGGTGCGACTGATCCAAAGCCGGGGAGTGTTCCAGATGGCGGCCTGCACGATTCCGAATTGGATGCCTTGTTGGAGGAATCTGAGGAAGCAACTGCAAAGCAACAAAAGCCAAAGTACTCGAAAGCACTGTCCAGTGTTGGCGGCCAGGCCCAGAAAATGGTGCAGGAAAGGGCCCAAGAACAAATCAACGAGATGCAGCTGTCGTGCAGTGCGCTCGGCATCAACCAGCGGTCTGCCAAAGAGCTGCAGTTGCTCAGAGGGGAGGTGGAGTTCAGTGGATTGGGTACTGGTGGTCACCGTGCTCACTACGTGATTGCTCCTCCAGAGATGGAGAGTGCAGATGAACTCTTGCGCTGGATGTTCGTCCGCCGGGATGGATGGCGCTTGAAGCCTCCAAATCTTTTGCTATCTTGCTATGGCGGAAGAGATCACTATGTGAACTGGGCTCATTCACCAACGCTTCGAAACCGAGAGGCCTGGGCCACGGCCACCGGCGCCGTAGAGGATTGGCAGTTCAGACAGAAGTTTACCAGCCGACTGTCAGAGATCTCATCAGGTGTTTGCCAAGCTGTGAGCGAATGTGGGGGATGGTTTGATCTGGGCACTGGACCTAGAGGAGGCTTGAACGAAGTTTTGATGGACGGCTTGAAGGTCTATTGGTCCGCCTTTGGATGCCTGGCAGGACACAAGACCGACAACGTGGTGTTCTGTGTGCGCTTTTTGCAGGACACGGAGTTCAAGGACAGCTTTCTCCAGTGTGCACAAGCTGTGCCCGCATCCGGTCCTGTTGACAAGCAGGAAGATTTGAAGGAACGAGTGATGTACCCGTCTGTCAACAGCCAGTTGTTTCCGGAGCTCGGAACCGATCCGAAGGCCAATGATCAGGATCTCCGGGGCTTAGATCCAGATGAAGAAGATGCAGGGAAGAGTGCAAAGAGTGTTGCTGACTTGGAGCTAGAAGTACGTGCTCAAATCACGAGGCGCTTTCTCTGCAATGCTCTTACTCACATTATTTTTGTTCAGAGTCAGCAAACACTGGACAGACTGAGAATCAAGCTCCGCTCTTTGGCTACGCGGGCATCCATTTTTGCCAATGGAAATGAAGCTCTCATTCAACCTGGTGTGGATGGTAAGATTTTGATGGAGGCAGTGACAGGCGTGCCCATCGTGTGTCTTCACAACACAGGAGGTGCCGCTGAAATGTTGGGTGCTGCAGTTCTCCGAAGACGCCAGCCCCATCATGCTGAACACTCGAAGTTCATGTATGGATATGACCTGCCGGAAAATGTACCTGATGATCAGTTCTTGATCCTGAATCCAGCAAAGGATTCAGTTGAAAAGGTCATCAACAAGCTGACACTTGTCTTGTCCACAGTCCAAGATGATGAAATGATGGAGATTGGCTTTGCCAAGAGCGAAGAAAATCGTCTCCGATATGCTTGGGAACAATACTTGCTCTATGCCTACAATGCGGCGATTTTCCGACGAAGAGCTAGAATTCTGCAGTACAGTGCCCTGGTGCTTTCAGTTGTTGTGACCGTGGTTGCTATCTTGTATCGCGAAAGCACGACGAACCCAGACTCACCTTTGCAAAAGGAAGAGCTCAGAGTGAGCTTGCTGGTCCTGCCCTGTGTGAGTGCTTTTGTTCTGACCTCAATCAGCCGATTGAACTTTGTCAACAAATGGGCAGCTTTGGAAAGCGGTGCTGTGAATGTGAAGAGCGAGATCTATCAGTACCGCTGTCGTGTGCTGTATTACCAGCCTCGGAAGTCCAACGACATGGACATTGAAGATCGCGTGGAGGAGCTCTGTGACAATCCTCCTAGCACCGCTGACCTAGCCACCCTAGCAGCTCTGAAGAAGAGGCAGAAGAAGGCTGAGGCAACAGCCCCAAATGGAATAACTCGTCGAGGCACTTTCTCAGCAGCTTTAGCACAAATCAACTCTGATGCCACAGGCTCGGATGTCCGGGCTGATTACTTGTCTATGCCGCCAGCTTCGGCCATGGCAAAACTGAAGGCTAACCTCTATGACTGGGACAAGGTGCTTGCCTCCTACCACCAGCGCACTTCCTCCACTTCCTCTTGCAAAAGGCTTTGCAATCCCTGCAGACGTCCTTCTGCGAAGGTTATGGATCTTGAGGACGGCCCATGGAACCAGGCTGGCAGCGATTTCCACCCAAACCCCTTTGCAATTGATGACGACTATTTGAATGATGATGGAACATCTCTAGTGACGGCCGAGGACTACATCCATTTCCGATTTTTGCCCATGCTTCAGTACTACTCTTGGCGCAGCCGTGACCTTTCAAGGAAAGTGCTGGTTCTCCAGGTCTTGACCTACTTTCTGACTGCAGCACTGGCGGCTGCAACTCCTCTCGGCTACGAAGCTTGGATACCAGTCCTGGTGTCCTTCATCTCCTTTTTCGCGGGGATCATGGAATTTGAGGCCTTGTCGTCTCAACTGCGCAATGTCAATCAATCCTTGGAGTCACTCAAGAACCTTCATTTCTGGTGGCAGAGCCTTTCAATGGTCGAGCGGCGAATGCCCTCCAACAAGAACGAACTAGTGGCTTGCACAGAGGCGACGGCTGACAGTGAGATCTCCGCATGGAAAAAGACATTGAAAGTCAAGAGTGTGACATCTGGCGGTTCAAATGGGAAAGAAGAGGCTGAGGAGGATTCGGATTGATGTTTGTAGGATAGCCAAGCCCAGCATGCGCATTTTTCCACTGCAGCGCCCAAGGTGCCAGCACTGGAGTAGCCAGACATGTCGAGACTGATTCAGTTTCACCAAGTAAAGCTGAAAGACACAGATGCCACCGAAAACAGGCCTGCCTATTGCGTCAGGATGTTTAGTACTACAATGTACTACATGTGCGACCTTGATGTCGCTTCCCTTGCGCATGAACTGGTGTTCCTTTTGTTTGCATGCCTTCCTATGGCTCAGACAAAAAACATGACATGCAGAGAAGGATATTTGGCTTAACTTGCTCACTCTGCAGCTTATGATTAGGCCCAGATGTAGTGTGTCAGTGCATACTCTCCAATGGTTGCAGGATGCCAAAGTTGGTGCAATCATGGGTTCGATGGAAGGAGGCAGAGAGTAAGCAATCATGTTCTTATCCTATCGACGCTTCTGACATCTTGTGACTCTAAAGGGTAATTATATAGTGTTTGTATGCCTACAGGTAGCTTCTTGCATAGCATACAATGAGCTGTTTATCCTTTGGAGTCTCAAAATGAAGACAGACCACCTTTGAGACTTTGTGAGGCGATGAAGGAGACGGAGACGGAGATGGTGTCTCCATCACCTGTCGCATGGCAGCTTTCAGCCTTTGGTTCTCTTGGTTGAGCGACGACTCCGTTTGCCATTTCCTTGGCTGTTGGTGACTTCCGCCACTCTTCCCATTGGCCTTGCCATTGCTTCTGCGCTTTTCTCCATGACATAGTGCGTGGAGTGGAAGCCGATCAAGGACGGGAATATTGTAGGCAGGTCTGCTATGATGGGATTCCAGGTTTCTTGATCCCGCTTTTCCCTTGAAATCTGTTGACTCTTGCTCGGGCCCTCTGTCTTCTACGTCTTTCGCAACGGTGCCACGTCGGAGACCATTCCCGCGCTATGGCGAACAGCACCGAGAGAGGGGGCTTGAAAGCGACACCTTTAGTGTCTGGGGCTACCAGGTCGATCTTATTTCTAAGCAATCCTGAGCCTTGAGAGATCAACTGAGGAAATGAAGAGGATTGGACAGAGCTGTCGCTCTCTTTGCGAAGGTTTGTTGTCCAGCACTGAAAAGCATGAGAAGTTGGGTGATCTCCGGAATCTTCCTTTGAAGACTCGCAGCTCGGTAGCTGTAGCTGCTTTTCTTTTTGTCAGTGAGGTAATTACAGGAACGACTGTAGATGGGGCAGGGGGGTTGTAAATCCCTGAGAGTTGTAGATGAGAGATTGGCATGCCCTATCAGGGCCCTATCATGCTCTCACTTGTCAGCCTTTCTGGTTGTTTTCAGCCATTTCTTCAACATGAGTTTGAGGCGATTGACTGCGCGAGTTCATTCTCAATCCGAATTTGTTTGATGAGAAGTTGAAGGAAATCTTGGAGCTTGTTTAGGAGGATGACAGTAATCCATCTTTGCCACAAGCTGCTCGCACTGCCAGAGGCCTCTTTGCGTGTGATATCTTGCGTTCTGCGCTGCACAAGAGACACAGGGTCGCGTTTGGAGTGGACAACGTGACTTGGCGCTGTGAAATGGCCATACCTTTCCGCTTCAAAGATGCTCCGAGGGAGAGGACCGAGTGAAAATAAAGAATTTAGGTCTGTAAAAGCTTCTTGTTACTAGTAGTAAGAATGCTCCTAGTAGCGATGCCAGGAGCCCCTAGTAGCGTCCTTGCTCCTAGTAGTAAGATGTAGTAAGGCCAGGAGCCCCTAGTAGCTTCTTGTTACTAGTATATATGCATTTTACTGTTTTATGTGTTCACAAATTTGTAAGGTAATACAATCCCCGAGTATTTACATTACAATCCTCGAGCGACAGGACCGAGTTTGGTCACCCATTGAAGATGACTTGCAGACTGGGGCTGTTCACAAAGCCGTCGCCAAAAGGCTGAAAATCCCAAGGGCTGCAGAGGGCTTGACCTTTGATGATGAGATGATTGATCTGCTTTGGCCAAAGCTTGGCCAGAATTTGCAGGTTGTCGAGACTTTCCTGGAGGAGTTTGTTTATCCCAAGGAAACTCGACAATTTCCGTTCAAGGCCCATTGCTGCATGAAGGGCCCACGTTGAAATAATTTCATGTGTTCCTTTGCAATCCAGTGATTCGTGCTTCTGTAAGACTAGCAGTCACAACTAGTTCTTAAGCACTTGGGCTCCCATGACAGGTATCATCAAGTGCATGGGATTTGGCTGCTGGGCGTTTGAGAGGATTTCAGGCACAGCGGACAATCGGCAGCTTTTGCCTTTGGGGGTGCAGCAGTATGAGGACGACATGGTGAAGCACACTGATGGCCGTGCTTTGCGAAGTCTTTGTGATCCTGAGATGGGCGGACCGTCCCCTGTGAAAATGATTGAGCACAAGGAACCCTTGCAGATTTTGGAGGAGATTCTCATCGCTCAATCTGAAGTCCATGTGTCTGTGCTGATTGATTGCGGTGCTTTGCTCACTGGGATGTCGAATCGGCAAGTTGCAGAGGCTGTGCTGAAGCTGAGTCCTCATAGATTTCGGACAGCCATTTATTTCGATGATGAGAACCAGATCGTGGTACTGGACAGCGATGGAAAAGACACTCCTTTGGCCAAGAGTCCGCTTCAACCTGCCCATGAGTGCTTCACATATTTGGATGACAAGCACAAGCGTGGAACGGATCTACGCTTTGCCCCAGCTGCAGTTGGAGCAGTCACTGTGTGCAAGAAGACCACCAAAGACAGGCTAGTCCAAGCCTGCATGCGCGTGTGTTTTCTGGGCCTGGGTCAAAAGGTTATGCTTTTTGTGGACAGTGAAGCTGGAGCCAAGTGTGGGTTTAGTTCTTGCTTTTGTCACAGCTCGGACAGCAGAGGAGTTGAGGTCTGCTATTGTTCACTGGGCATTGCAGGGTTCAGCCTTTGCAACACGAGTGCCCTTCTTGGAACATGTCCAGGGGGCTTCAGGCCCGAATGCAGGCGTTTAGCAAACAAAGCTTTGCAGAGAGCCAGAGAATTTTCAGTTGACTTCGTATTGCCAGTCACTGGCTGCTTACCCCAGTGAGGAAGAGATTCCTAGGCGTGCTTTGGATGCCCCAGAACAGATCTTGAAGAATGCGGATTTGACACCACAAGAAACACAGCGCTGGAGAGAACGTGCACACAAGAGAATCAGGAATCAGTTGGCATACTTGCGTGATCACAAGCTCCTGTGTTCTGAAGACGTTCTTGTTACTTCTATGGATGAGGAACCGGAACGAGAGAGGGAACAGGAGAAAGAACAAGAGAAGGAAGTCGAAATAGAAACCAAAGCTGAAGTGTGTCCTCCTCCAGTCCAAGCCCACACACAGCTTGTTGAGAAGCAATGGGAATGGGGCCATGCTTTACAAAAGGTTTTGTATTTGATTGCCTCAATGAATGCGATGGATGTCCCCGTTTGCATGCAATGACTGCAGATAAGCTGGAACGCTGCGGGATGTATTTGCCACAGATGCTCGATTTCAGAGACATGCCAAGTCATTTGTTCATCACCAGCAATTGGCTTTGCAGTGTCCAAATTACAGATGACCATTGCAGCCCGCTGGAAAGAGCACATACGTTGCGTGCTGTGGATACGTTCCTTTTGTCTCCGGCCAAGGACCAAGTGACATCGATCATCTTGCTATCAGGCTGGGAAGCCAGCAATGTGTTGGTAGAGATGAGGTATCTGAGCAAACATGCCCCTCAGCGGGCAATGCAGGCAGAAGAGTTCTTTGCCCAGCTGTGCCACTTGAGTGATACTGGCAAAAGTATGTGTGCTTGTCGTGTGGGCTATCCAAAGCTTCCACGTGCAGAGCATCGAGCTGTGCGGAAGCTTTTCAATGGCTCCTGCGATTACTCACTCAGTGAATGTGCAGAAGTTGTGAAATTTCTGGGTCTTTTGCAACCACGGAGCGCCTACAACTTTGCCAGCCATCAGTGGAATGAGCAACAAAGCCAGCGTTTGTGGGAAGCATTGAGAGACCAGAAAGTTTTGAGCAGGAACGGTTTTGTGAAAGAGGTCCCAGACGTCAATGCCAAACTGAGAGAGGCTGTGGAAACCGCCTTGGAGCAAAGAGAGGCAAATTATGCTTTAAAGATGGTTTGGTTTCACAACCTGCTGACTCAGATTTCAACAGGGCGCAAAAATCCTGCAGAAATTGTGCCAGAATTCGTGAGACTCTGATTACAAGGTCACTTTTTCCAAGGATCCAGCCTTGAGGAGCTCTTAGACCTTTGAATCTGATGTAGTAACAAACCTATATTGAAAAGGTATTTCCTAATAATACAAGATTTGAGTATTTCTAATTTTATATAGATATTTAATTAGTCAATTATTGTACATAAAACGAAGCGCCCCTCCCCTGAACTATTCACGAAAGGTAGCCCTCAGGGGGATACCTTGAGTTTGTCTTGCGAAGCAAGTGTAAGCTCCTCCAGGTGTAATAATTGATAGTTCAATTCACCCCCCCTTGGAATTGATTTTTCAATACAGACCCGCCCTGCAATGGGGGCTTGTACAGCGTCACTTCCATACCATGGTTAGTGTTAGTCAAAGATTTTGTTCAAAGACTTGGGATGAAGGGTTCAAAGAGTTTGGGAAGGACAACGGGTCAATATTTTGTTCAAAGATTTGGGATGAAGGGTTCAAAGAGTTTGGGAAGGAGAACCGCTCAAAGATTTTGGTCAAAGACTTGGGATGAAGGGTTCAAATCGTTTGGGAAGAAGAACGGGTCGATATTTTGTTCAAAGACTTGGGATGAATGAAGGGTTCAAAGAGTTTGGGAAGGAGAACGGGTCAAATATCTTGTTCAAAGATGAAGGGTTCAAAGAGTTTGGGAAGGAGAAACAAGACTTAGGATGAAGGGTTCAAAGAGTTTGGGACGGAGAACAAGACTTCGGATGAAGGGCTTAAAGAATTTGGGAAGGAGAACGGGTCAAAGATTTTGTTCAAAGACTTGGGATGAAGGGTTCAAAGAGTTTCGGAAGGAGAACGGGTCAAATATGTTGGTCAAAGACTTGGGGTGAAGGGTTCAGAGAGTTCGGAAGGAGAAGGGATCAAAGATTTTGTTCAAAGACTTGGCATGAAGGGTTCAAAGAGTTTGGGAAGGAGAAGGGGTCCAACAAAGATTGTGCTCAAAGGCTTGGGATAAAGGGTTCAAAGAGTTTGGGAAGGAGAACGGGTCAAAGAGTTTGAGAAGGAGAAGAGGTCAAAGATTTTGTTCAAAGAC